GGGGGAAAAAAGGCAGCAGACAGAAACGCAGAGCAGACTTTTATGAATGTTTCAACGAGCCAAATCCACACACAAAACAAACGGCAGGTAGGCAAATGAGTCGGAGTGATTCAGATGAGTAACATGAAGCAGGGAGTTTCAGAGCTGTGTTTGGCAGGCGACGTAACAGAGCAACTATTCTCAGAGCCAAGGCTGCGAGCAACAAGTCGTCATCACACAACACACGAGCAATGTGGCAGCGTCAGAAACACACACACACACACACACACACACACACACACACGCGCGCGAGGCTCGGCTGCCAGCTCCATTAAAAGATTTGAATCTGTGAAACTGAGACCAAAGAGATGCCTGGTAAAAGTTAATGGAATTTTTACGAGCTCAATGGACTTGACGGGGACGGGGACGTCGGTGTCCTCATCAAGTCCGGATCAATTTATCGCAGAGACATTGTGGCTTTTAGCTCATTTAACATTTAATTAAGTGCGTTTAGGGACGGCGATGCATATTGATTGATTTTTTTTTTTTGGGTTCACCGTTAGCCAAAAGGCTGTCTCATTCACATCTATCAGTGTGGCATTTGTCACGTTTAAGTGCCATTCATCAGCATGGCAGAGTGACAAAAATGCCACTCTTGGCTTGAAAGCTGCAGAAAAGTGTAGCCATAGGAACAACTATATGAAAAGCCTATCGCATTGCTCCATTTAGTCCATATTGTATATTGAATACTACCTTTTAAAACATCTGCTCAGCACTTCTTATGGAAGCCATATGATGAAAAACAAAGAATCTTTCAGCCCAATCAGACAGTCGCATGAAAACACACAAGACTGACTAGGAACAGTATTCCAGACCTGCAGAGCCACTGTCTAAATATCTGTTGACACCTCAGTCAGAGTCATGAGTCCCCCACCTTAAAGAAGTTCCACTCTCAACACTCAACCATGTTATCGTGTTAACCCGGCGCGACGAGCTCCATCCTAAGTATGAAATCCTTTTAAACTCTTCTGTGTCGTGTTAAATTTACCTTACATATCAGGATTAGATATTCCCCCAATTATGCAAATCCTGATAATCTGACAGCCTCATAAAGAAGAGGAAAGCCATTTTCAGACACCTCAAGGTATTCATTCTAATTAACACCAGGTGATTAGTAATTGTCTCCCAGTGATAAACTCCTTATTAAGAACACATCATTAACCGTATTTCTCATAAACTTTGCTTTATTCAGTGGCTGTTATGAACATCAGCTCACTCTTGTCAGTCTCACAGATGTCACACTGCCACCCACTGGTCATCAGCTGCCATTACAACATGGATGAATGCCAAGTGAGGTCATGAGTATGAGAAACATGTAAGTTATGTAACTATTCATTTATATCCAAACATTTTAATGATGGCAAGCTTTCATAGAGAGCAAATGTGCACCATTCTTGATTAGTGGCCTGTTTTAACGCATATTTGCATGTCCATTACCCTGCAGCTTGAGCATGAGTGCATCTGAGATCGCCTCATCTGTCTCATGCATGTGCATCAGTGTGTGTACGTCCAGCCCTGTGCTGCACAGTCATGACCAGAAGGTCAGACAGATAAACACAAGCCAGTGTCCCTCGAGGATCGGCCCCCGCTACACAGGCGGAAAAACACGCTCTTTGCACTCATGATAAACCATTGCATCACATCACATTCGAGGCTCATCCGTGGACTGTCCTCGCAGTCACGGAGGATTTTGGCCTCGGTTGAGCGACCACCTGGGAATCCATCAGTCATTTTTACGGGCCGGCCGTCCAATGACAGCGCTGGCGTTTAAATAAATGAAATGGGGCAGGGAAAGAAAAATACAGTGCATCATCAAATATTAAGCTCAGCATTACAGATGAGCTGCAGAAGAGGTCATGTTTTATAAGCGGCCGGCTGCAGAGAGAGCTCTGGTCCTGTCCTCTCTCTGGGAATCTGGGAACACTGCCCACATGCTCCATTAACACTGACTACAGGTTGTTGTTTTTTCAGGAAAAGATGGGAGCAGACTATAAGCACTAATGAAACAATGCCAACTTACAGCATGTGTTACAGGGCCAGCATGTACACACAGATGTTTTGACCAACAAGTAATCCTAAAAAGCATGTAGATACAATAAATACGCCCTCTGTGTCTCCCCTGGGGGAAAATGAATGGCTTCATTTGGAAGTAGGACGAAACTAATCTGATGGAAGTAATTGTTAAGTGACAAGTTGATTAGCTGTTATAAGTCATCATGAAAAAGGTTTCCCAGAGGACTCATGGTGTGATGGGTAGATTAACAATCTTCAGTAGCCCTTACATTTTAATGTGGACTACAAATATGCTAAATATAAGCTAGTCAGCTTTCACAAAGAGATATGAACCCAACCGCAGAATGAGACTCCCAACGAAAACAACACCATCAATCATTTAGCAAAGGCCTCGTAGTGACATTCTCAATCGTCAAAGTCCTCGAGAAAGATGACACTATGACTGTTGTCTATCTGGAGCAACTGAGGAAACAATGTGACGTTGACAAAGAGCCACAAAGTTAGCAGTGGGAAAGGATTTTCAATGTCATAGCAACAGTCAGTGTTTGTTCACTATCCATCACTCAAAAAGTGTTATCTTCCCCAGCTCCTTGTTCTGCCAGCTGTGAAAACTGTTTTATTTCTGAAAAATGGTTCGTAACGGTTTGCAAGGCCACTACCAATGGTCTTACTCAGCCAATAGGAACACAAGTTAGGTAATTCTATCATTTGTTGATCGGGGGGGGATGACGACAAATGGCATGTTTTGAAGTCTGAACATGTGTTGTTGCTCCAAACCCAAGGTCACATATAATACATGAATGCTTTGGCCATGCTTTGCTTTGTCAGTAAAAGTTTCTGATTTACATCTTCAGCAGGGGCCTCCACTATGAACCTATCTGCCTATCTGCCTCTTATGTGTTTACAGTTCACTTATATTCAGGAGATAGCTGCTAACTAACAGCCTTTACAAGACAATCGAATACAAATCTTTATAACCAGGGATATGATCTGATTCAGAGATGACTCATTACAATATGGAATGATTCTGAATGATTCAATTCAGAACCCGTACTGAACCCCGAGTAATTTCCTTTTTGCGAAAATGCTTTTGCAATTCATACACTATTTATTTAACACGGCTAAAAACAGGTGAACATAGACTGGTTTGCCTAATATGGATAACATCAGCAGTGGTAGCACCGCCCGCCTCCAGTCCTCCATGCAGGTAACAATCCACATACCTTTGCTTAATGCGGTCACAAATTATCCCGCGGATACGGCAGTTTAACCTGACATAAAACTTTATGTCCATTTTCTTTTTCAAAACACTGCCGAACTGCACCGTGCTGCAAAGGTTCACCTTTCTTGTTTACTTCCAGACACTAGAGCAGGGAGAGAAAGGCAATTAACCAGAGCTAAAGCCAGTTTATGGCTAGATTCCCGGCTAGTGGTGGGTGGCTCCATTACAGCTTCAACACAATATTTGACCGGCATTGAGGGCTAACATAAAAATATGAGTAATGCGTTTAAATGACTAGTAATATTGGGAAAAAAATTCAATTGTTTCGTCAACTAAATTTCTCACATCTTTGATAGACAGCGACAAGATGTGACCCCTAACATTACACCACGTTATTTAACACATGTTTAATATAAATAATTATTTTTCAAACACAAATTCTAGCAGTAAGCCTAAATGAGCGACCGTTTTACACACAGCTTACAGTTGATGACTAACTTGGAGCCATAATAAAAACCAAAGAGGAGCTCTTATCGCTCTGACTGCTATGGCTCAAACCACAGGAGTCCAAACACATGTGTCTGAGGACAAAATAAGAACATATAAGCTTCACCAGCTGTCCTAAAAAGAAAAGATGCCATCTTTGACTCTTGTCTTTATTGATGTGGCTCATTAACCGCAGTAATCAGGAAACTGTTTTCATCTCAGGAGCCAGATGTGATTGATTCTAACAGATCCCTCTCTTCTGTCTCTGGCCTGATGGAGATACTTCGCTCTGCTTCCAGCTACAGCCAACATACCAATTACAGGGTTATTCTGAACCGTGAGGCTCCTTAAAATAGTTCTTAAATAACAGGGTGTCAAATATCAGCAACCAAGTGGCACTGCATAGAAACAGCTGGTTATCTGTGCCACCAGTCAGCACTGGCACACACTGAAAGCTACATTTCTCATAATGCATTGGCACTTGCTGTGTTTGAATCCTATAAAAACATAGGTTTCCAAGCACTGACATTGAGCTCATTGGCCTCGGAGCATTTCATTGGGTTAGTCTGATGTCACAACCACATTTGGCGTTAAAAAAAAGTAGGTCACTCGGGCCTTTATGTCCCATCGTCAGCCATTTGGTAAACTGGAGGCTTTCTCATAATGACTCGCCTCACTTCCAACAGACTTAGATTTTCCTCTCAGAGAAGCCAGCTGGGATGGAAAAACAAAGCGGGGAAGAGAAGGCCACCCTCCTCTCCAGCTAGGAGACGTTTACTCTCAGCAGTTTTTCACCAGAGTCATTAAAATAGCAGAAAATCAAATCAAGGCAAACTGTGAGCAAAGGAATTTTCGATTTCGTTTCCAGTGGTTCTGATTGTATCCAATTATAAGTTACTATTAGTGCCATTATATTGTCCTTTACAGTCCAACTGTGAAATCTACACAGTATACAGTTTTGCCACTTGGAAACAGGATCTGCACAGACCTCACAGTCATACAACCACTACTCACTTTGCAATTTCAAGTATCTTTGAAGGTTGCAAAAAGCTTTTTCCATTTGTTAAAAACCAAGCTGCATCAAACTCATCCATCTCTCTGACACATCTAGCACAAAGTGCAAACCATGGCAGTTATGTAACAGCAATTTACCTAGAGAAAAGTGGAATTGCATTGCTCAAAAAAAGTACACTTCACTCTGAAAATAAAGAAATAAAAAGGCACAGTGGGTAGTACTTACTGTGTTTGCCCCGGCAGGCTTCTCAAACATCCTCTTTAGGCTATCAAGTGGGATGTCAAACCTCTCAATCCTCTTAGCAGCCTGCAGGTCCTCTCTGATCACTGGATCTTCGGATGCCTCTACCTGCGAACCACAGGGACTCCAGGAAACGCAGCCCGAGGTCGCCGACACTGCGCTCGCCACCTCCTCTCCATTTCCTGATTGAATTTCCATTGTTGTACAGAAACCGTATCTCTCTCCCCACTCTTTTCCCTGCAGTCTTTGTGCTTAGAGGGGAAGTCTATTGTAAGAGGAGGGTTTAGGAGGGGTGAGGAAGTGTTGGAGTTTAAAAAAAAAAAGAGGAGTGAGAAATAAAGATGGAGATGCAGAAGTTGCTGGGGTTTCTTTCAGTCTGGAGGGCTCTCTGGGTTTTGCAGGCACAGCGAGTGGCTGGAAAAAAAAAAAGAGGAGGAGAGAAGAAAAAGTTCACAGGGAAAGTTTTTTCTCCCTCTCTCCCTTGCCCTGTAATTACTCATACACACACAGAAGCCTATGTAAACTTGCATGTGGGCTGAGAAAAGCAAATTGAGATATGAGCCGTGTAAGCAGGCCAAAGGAGTGACAACAAAGAAGAGGAGAGAGGAGTTCTGTGAGACAATGCTCCTTTACTTGGGAGGCCCAGGTTCTCCTTAACTATAACTAAACATACTTAATATTGTTTTAGTTCCTTGGCATCACATGACTAATCTGAATTTTATTATAAATACTTATAAACATGATTCAAACTGATGATACTGTGTTGTTTTCTTCATGGTCAAACTCAACATCTGTTTCTGGACTGTAAACAATGAATGTGTTTTTAATATTTTTCACACAATGCAAAGGTAAATTATTGAACTAAATGTGAAGAAATGGTGCACAACATGTCAGGGGAAACTCATTGCTGGCTATTTTGACTGCGCTAACTGTTAGCGAGCCTGTTAGCACCTCTCACTACTCCTAGATTTTCGAATGAAACTTTTTTGTGTATTCAACAACATAATGAAAGACATTGTACAAATACATGCAGCCTACCTGCTTCATTTCCAATGTGCTGGTGAGATGCATACTGCTGGTTTTATCCTCCACTGTCCTCCATAGAGATACTAGCCACACCTGTCTTTTCCTGTTAACACAAAATATATCAAACACTTTACCGGTTTACATTAGCTTTTAAGTGCAAAGAGTTTTACTTTTAATTGGGTACTCTTCCAACCTTAAAGGAGGCTCTTGTCCCACAGACAAGGGGGGCTTGGTAAACTCCTGTTAGCCTGCAAATGGGTTGTAAATAGCCATAACATGTGTTTGATAACAGGAATAAGGAATACACATGTTTACCTGGTACAAAATGTGATTTGGGTGTTATGAATAAATGTCTTCATAGGCACATACTGTCATTGGATTATTTATGACTCACCCATTTTGATTTTGGGAAGGATGCAATTAAATGCATAATTATAATCTACCTTACAGTAGATAGGCTTCCAAAACAGTCCTACAATAACCAATGTGTGTCACTCAGGCCTCGTCCATGTTCATTCAGAGTTTAGAAAGTGTATACAATATTAAGACTGTTATGTGGCTTACAGGTACCTTTAATAGAAGTTATTTTTCTAAATAACTGGGTTTAAATTAAGTCAGAAGAAAAGGAAATATTGAATCATATAGCATTAAGAAGTGAAGGACCCCCAAACATTAAGCCACTTTCAACCTAACTCAAAGGTTTAAAGCTAGAAATGATCATATTTGCTTTGCTCTTCTATCAGCTGGTCACACGGTCATATCTGCTGGCTTTCAGGAAACAGATTAGCAGCTTTTCGCCTCACCCATCCTGCATTTAACACCAGGTCTGGGCTGGATAGGAAAGCTCATTATAACAGAACAAACCAAGGAAGGTCCACAACAACTAACCCTGCTGGCCTTCTCTGCAGCCACGATGAGGGAGGGCTATGTTGTTAACTTTTCACCAGCCACACCAACTTTTCTCAGGGAGGGTTTTTCCTGCTTTTGGACCTGGCACGACAAGGGAAACTAACACGTTGACTCAGCTCTTCCTCTTCTATCCTGCCATGTTTAAAGGGTGATTCTCAGTTGCTGTTGTTCTGGAGAAAGAGAGAGACAGAATGAAAATGTTTCATGAGCTTAAAAAAAAAAAAAAAAAGATGCAGGGGTCAAATGGTGGACGGGAGAGTAAGACGAAGCCAGGAGAGATTGACAGCTTAGTTAAAGGATCGAGTAGACAGAAAGACGGCAGAGTTACAGGGCTGAAACAGTCAGTCAGATTCACAATAGACACATCAATACAAGGGAAGAGAGAGAAAGGAGTTGATAAGCAATCTAGATAATCCAATCTTAATGAATGAACGGTCATGATATATGCATCTGATAGTACTTTAGAGGACACAGTATCACTCCATTTATCCTAGCAGCAGATACATTATTCAGAGAGGGCCAGAGGTATGTGTGTCACTTTCAGCTGGATCCTGTGTCCATTAAGGCCACTCAGCTTGCACCAGTTACTCACACACATGAAGAAAAATTCAATTTTATGTCTTTGAGGCATTTGTGAATTTCATGACGTTTATTTTTCAATGTTATTTCATTTCAACAACTGCGAAAGGTCAAATTTTGAGAGAAAATTGAGACACCAAGGACGTTTCCTGCATTCACGGAGTAGTAAAGATTTTCTGTGATATGCATCTTGATTTGTTGCATAGTGAAAGCATACACACACACAAGCTCACACAAACTGTTTAAAGTGCAGGGCTGAGTGGAATTCAACGTGAGAGCAAACATAATACCCCCGTACTCAAAGCTCCAGAGCAGCTTTTCTTTAATACTACCAGACACTTTTTCAGCCCTAGTGGGGCTTCAGAGAGACTTTCTTGTGACGATTTGCCCGAGTAAAAACACTGTCTGCTTCTGTTAAATAAAATATGTTGCAGGTTCTGTGCTTGCTCCCATACTGAATTCCTGGCCTTGGGCTCTAGACTTCTTTATTTAGAGGACAGACTGAAATAAAAAATCCTCAGAGAAGATAAGAGGATGGATGTTAATGTTTGTATTTTGTTTTGTCTACTGAGTCAGAAAGAAGCAGATATCAATGATCCACTAACCTTTTAAAGATACTGTCTCTAAATACCGCCACTTAACATAGTTTAGCTTGGTATATACTGACAGAGCCAAAGGTCATTTTGGTTCCCAAGAAAAAGTCTGGAAATACAGAAAAAAAACCATACATAAACATCTCACAGTCCTGACATGGATTCTGTTCAAGACTCTAGCCAGGAAAATGTGTCACAGCTCACCACACATACTTCATCCCTGTTGGTTTGTTGCTGTTGAAATAAGGGCCGCAATTTTTTTATTCCACTTCTTTTCAGCCAAAGATGACATTAAGGCCTAGCTTCTCTTAATACATCATTATAAGTTTAGACAAGATGCAAAATAACTTAAGGGAATTGGCTTTTTCTTTTTTAATTATTATTGACATGACTGTGTGTGTTATGAAAGAGGTCGCTTTGAAAAACCAACCCACAGATATGTAGCATTTAGCATCTCTCTGCTAATATCTTTTCATGCAGCTTTTAATTATTTTTTTTTTGAGTTGCACTTCTTTCATGTAACCAGTTTCCAAACTCCCCAGTTGCATTTCTTCAGAGTTGTTAAGACTAGACCACAGAGCTCTCCACAAGTGTTTTTTTTTTTTCAAAACCGTTAGTTAGTTAGATCATTTGTGACTAAACAATTTCCTTCATATGGTTTTACTTCTACAGCCTAACCTTTTTATGCTGAAAATACAATGTACACATTACCTGTACAATTACCAATACGATGCATTATATCGGATTGTACAGTATATGTATTGTATCTTATGTGCACATTTCCACACCAAAGTTAAAAATGCAGACATTTGACAGAAACCTTGTTTATCAGCACCTGTAATTGTAAACACTGTACTTCACTGCCTCATTGTTCAGTATTTTAATGGTTAATGATTTTCTCTCTTAGGTTTTTATGTCACTCTATTTGTCTTGTCTGTATTCTATTAGCTTGATGCCTCAGTGATGTAATTTCTCAGCGAGGATCAATAAAGATTCATCTTATTATCTGCTTTAAATGAAAAATCTCCCCATGGAAACACAACAAAGTTTATAATAAGGAGAAGCAATTCGCTTTCTTGGCAAATTCTTTATCCTCAGCTCACCTCCGAAACTTGAGCTATTTAATCCCTTCATTAACCAGGTACATTTTAACAGCTTTTACAGGAGTGTATAGATGCTTGAGTTTATATATCTCTATATACGTTTATGGCATAAGAGCCAGTAAGTAAAAACAGAGTTTATTGGATACGTAATGGAGTCATAACCTCAACTAAAGCATAGAGTTAATAGAAACTATTGGCTTCTGTTGGTCATTTTAACTCTGATCTTTAAACTCACCAAGAGAAGCAAGAAAATACATCTGTTAACATTTAAAAATGCTCAGAGAGGTATTAATATAATACACAAAGCTGTGTTGAACCATGTTTTATTGATTTTCTTGAGGCCCTATGGGTTATGTTCAATGCATCAGCTTACAGGCAGCAACAAGCAGACCTCTGAGTTTGTTAAAAAGTTTTTATTGCCCACTACAAGCTATGGTATGGTATGTATGGTATCCATAAAAGGTATTTACCGTTTAGACAAATCTGAATTGATTTAAATAAGGGTCATTGCGGACATTTATATTTGAATTCAATCAATATAAATAGATTAATGTGGCTTTAGGAAATTGTGATTTGATTTCACTATGTTCTCACAATTTAAATAATAAGCTCTTAACCAAGAAGATTACCATCAGATAATCTTAAATGCATTTCAAAGTAAAGACCAAGAATAGAGCCCTGTGGAACCCCATTATTGATAACAAGAGGGCATGATTCTGCACTATTAAACTGAATTGCTTTCGGTACAAACATACACTGCTGTGCCTTGACTGACCAATGCTGCTATTCAGCGTCATACCATAGGCCCCTTATTTTGGTATTCATTCTTCAAATTTTGTGCAGTTTTCTTTTTTTTTTAAATGGGTGTAATTTGATTTGCTTATAGGTGAAGAGGGGCAGCAGCATCCATCTCAGAATTCCTTACAGCCTTAATTTAGTGTACTCCTCTTTATTCACACTGTAATACTTCCTGCCCACTTTCTAGGTACATGAGTAGAAACAGTAGCCAGTAGGGATCAGATGACAGTTACACTACTCCAGTTACTGGGGGTTTACTTCCTACCTCAGCTTCATTATATCACAGCAGGTCACCTGATAGGTCCAGAGGATAGTAATGCACAATAGGTCTGGTCAAGTAATGGTGAGAACAGAGCACAGGAGTCGTTTAAGGTGAAGC